GTGTTGCAGATGTTCATGGGCGGTGATCACTTACCATCAGGTGAGCCACCTGCTCTTTTGCATCATTTTTCCATTAAAAAAAAATCTGTACATACGTATTTTACAATTATTGATCTTGTTAATTGAAATAAAGCAAAAAATATGTAAGGAGAAAGTAAATCTTTCTATACATAAAGTTATATTTCACTAGATAATAGTGTAATGCATTGCACTTCATAATACTGAAACCTTAGAAGGAAATGTAGGCTAGAGTGGAATAAATTGCGATATGCGAGCAAGGGACTATTGAATAATGATATAAAATGTGTAATCTTGTCAATGTCATATAAATCATTTTCAATGTGATCGAGTGAAAAAGGGGATTTCTTTTTTTTACCGACTTCAAAAAAGGAGGAGGTTTCTCAATTCGACCGTATATATTTTCATTTTTTTTGTGTGTTCGTGGATAACTTCGTCGCTTTTTTTGTCGGAAAGGAGATATCCCAAGGGTGGTACCATGATAAGGAAACCCGGATGATGGCATCCCAGAGAAATCGAGGGCCATCATTGTGTAAGTTATTGGTGTGAACAATATTTTTAATATTCTGATTGAATTTTTTTTGTTAAAAATTATACTTGTTGTGTGTATCTTATCGCTATTGCCAGAACAATTCCTCCCGTGTCATCGAGGTGTTTGTAACGATAATCACACAGAACATACATTAGTCTTAAGAACTAGAATTCTGAAATATTAGTAAACTGTGAAAAACTAACACATCACACAAAACATTTTAAATCATTTGGGTGTGAAATAGCTAATGGATTTAGTAACGCTTCTAGCGAGTGGTACAGAATGATAATTGAAATTGCCACACCTAAATTTTGAAATTGTTGTTACAAAACTTGTGCCATTATTTTATGTACACGTGTTGAGGCAATCGTGAAACAATGAGGAGGAGATGTTCAATAATAAGGACCTGTATTTAATGTTTGTTTCGTACTTTTTCTACATATTTTAATAAGGACCTGTTTTAGACGAAAAAAACCAAATAGTCTTCAACTGCTTCTATATTGAAAATCGATATGATTTAATTTATTCATTTAATTATCCCAATTAATCCACGATAGATCAGTGACTGTCAATAATTTTTAATTTATACTCTAGATACCGCAAAAATACCTAATATAATATAAATATAATGAAAATCTAACATCGTCTGCAAAATTACATTCGTCTCAATATCGCAATCGTTCAGGTGAAAAGAAAAAAAGGAGATCGTCTAGACGGTGCGGTTATATCGCAACTGTGCTTTCAAAGCTTTATATGCTACTTCTTTAAGATGCAAGAATATGGGATCTGTGCTGTCGAAGCTCATACGTTTACTTATTCATGTTTTTAATATCACTATTCCTGTATTTGGTTTGATGGAATGAAAGTAAACAGTAGCTACGAGACGCAATCCAGCCACGTTATCAAAAACATTAGGTACGTTAGTATTAAATACTTTTACGTCTACAAGATGACTGACTGAGAAGTGTACATAATTCTTTTATGTGAAATGTTGACAAGCAAACAGATGATTATGTGCTTCTGAGCACCTGATATTAAGTTATAACCACCGGTTATAGACTTTTGGAACACTCGTTAGTTGAAAAAGAAAAGTTGGCTCGTGAGCAGGCAGTTCGCCTAACGTTAAGTGATAAACGCCGCACGTGGACACCTACAACACCAGAAGGGTATAAAGAGGCCATCTTTGAACTAGTAGTAGGCCCCGGTTAACTTTCTCACCAGACAAAACGCGAAAGTGTAATACTTTGACCTTACGCCGGTCTTCTGTGAAGCAGGTTTGTTTCTCCGAACAAGCCTTCCCATTCATACCACAGTATATAATTCTTTTAGTAAATTGATCAAAACATGTATAATGCTCATCATCATCAGCCGTAGGACGCCCACTGTTGAACAAAGACCTCCCTATAATGCTCAACTGTTCGTTAATTGAATCACGAAACAACATAAATCTCGATTAGGTTTTTTATAAATTATTGTATTCGTATCGTGTACGACAATGAGTAGTTCATGTTAGTAGTATGTTTATGGTGATTAAAAAGACAGGCGTCTTAAAATATTCCCAGATTCTTCATCTTTTTACTGTACGGGATGTGAGTAACATTAAGAATATATTGGGGGCAAAGTGGACCAGTCGATTTTAGTAGCCAAACTAGAACTCCCGTTGACTTGATTTTGCATAGGATTGATAGTCAAATCATTACATTTACGTTACTCCAATTAGAAACACAACCCAATCCACATTAGTGCTTTCAATCGATATAGGTAGGTTTTCCAAAGATGATTGAGTAAAAATCTGGAGATCATAGGAATAAGATAGGTGAGAGCGTATCGTATTAACGAAGATTGTAAACAGGAGAGGAGACAACACGCCGCCTTGTGCAACGTCAGCAACATTGTTATTCCAGGAAGAAAAAATGTTATTTTTAGTGTTATTTTTGTATTTTTTTATATTTATTATCAAATGGTTTACATATACAGAAGGGCATTAGACATGAAAGCATAATATTTTAGTCAACTTATTTCAATATTTCAAAATAGAACTGATCCTCCTTTATACTTAATGTAAAATCGGTCATTTGCGGTCTACTGCTTATGATATTTGGATTTTAGTCGGTCGTTGAAAGAAGACAATTCAATGAAAGATGGGAGAATGAAAGCTAAAATAACAGATAAGTTATTGAAAATCTAAGTCACTAATCTACCAATTCATTCAGTCAATCATTGGTTTTGACCAATAATTAGCTGATAATGATATGTTGATATGAGTCTGCTAAAAATATGTCCTATTTTCACAAAACTTATACTGCCCAAAGACTAACCCAAACCAACGATCATATTTCAAATACCTATCAGTTCCATGAGCGAAAAGCTGTTAAAATGTCAAATGCAATGATATTATATACAAATAATAGGTAGATATGGCATTAGCGCACCGAAACTGAGGCATTCTTACTATTTTTCTTATCTTACTTCAAATTACGCATAATGATGTAATTACATTGTAACTTTATAGACTGTTATCTCTTTCCGTATCATACGTTCTATATCATCTGTCACACACGCTTATATATGTCAAATAACGCAACAATTTTTAAGCGCTGCGCAGTAGAATCTAAATTAAAATCCTCGAGAGCGAGTAATGAACATTTTAAGATATTTTTGACCTGTAAACGCTAAAATTTTATTCCAATTAAAATCATGTATGGGAAGTTGCCATTGTCCTTTCCAAATCATAACAATTTATTTTTATGTTTAGTTCAAAATTTTCGAATTTTTTAAGTAAATTCATACTCTTCACCACTTTTGAGATCATATAAAACAATATCGTTGAATTGACACATAATTTACGTACATTTTTATTACATATCTGTATTTTAGCAAGTTTACAGACTTTCAGTGAAGAAAAATTTGGTATCAAAATATCGCCAAGGAAGCAAGGGTTAATGATGAAGCCCGAAAATAACATACTGAAGTGGCAATTCGTCATATTTGCCGAAGGATCGATAAACCCTCGAGTGGATGTCCTAGATTGGATGAAAGGTGTGTACAAAAGCTACAGCTGTTATAATACGTACACCATGTATGGTTGGCTACTTTCAAAAGGAATACAGACACTTTTACGATAATAAATTTTTCCGGGTCCAATAATCGCATTAATATCAATTAAAGTTAGTAAAATCTAAGGTTGTAGAGTAAATATTTAAACCAAATAATGCTTGTTTCATAGTATATTGTTTACGGTATTTAAAATTGGAAAGAGACTTATACTTAGAGAAAGAGACTTATACTTGTTTTATATGATTAAAAATAACGTTTAAAATATTTTAATACTCATTGCTTACTCATTTTCATCTTTAAAGCATTACAAGCTTATCTGTACTACGCTATTTTCGTTGTAGTTGTTACGCTATTTAAATATTATGTTACCTTTAGCTATTAATATATTTATTATTTTTCTCAATTGTTGTAGTTAGAGATCTATATATCTTATTAAATTTGTAATTGGTTGGAAAAATTAGATAGCCTAGGAATGCTGGTGCACCAGAATCTTGACCGGAACTATAACCAAATGATAAAATATGAGAGACTACTACCATAAAAAATAAATTTTCCTTATAGCAAGTATTATATACTATTTATCAATAATATCTTTATGATTATTCTATTTTAAGTAGTAGTCCCAACACTAGATGAAACTTAAATACATTGTGATTTTTTTTGAAAAATTCGCTTCCTAAATTTTTAGTATTATTATTTCTTTCTTACACAGCAAATACAATGGATCTGTTAATGTTTTATCCGTTGCAGTTTGCGTGTGTGCTGAAGCAGCTTAAATTGAATTGGAAGGTAAGCACTATCGATGTAGTAATTGCTTGTCTACCTCGAGTGTTTGACTTTCCATCCACTGAACACAGAACAATGTTCGCCGTGCTCTATCTAGTAGTAATACAATTAAGGCACAACTAATAAGGGCACAACTGAATGCCTGAATATCTTTATTTGTCGTCGAGTGTACGAGATTTATGCCATTTAAATCTAATTAATGTTTATTTATAATGCCAATGTACTTTGAATAAATGGGCGTTATTTTTTTTCTTTATTATATTTAATATACTAGCGACCCGCCCTGGCTTCGCACGGGTGCAATGTATAACCTTCTTCTTGAATCACTCTATCTGGTAAAAAAACGCATCAAGATCCGTGACTTGGTTTAAAGATCTAAGCATCTATGTATGGACAGACAGACAGCTGTCGACGACATTGTTTCAAACATGTAGTGATAACCAACTCCCATTAAAAAAATAAAATAAAAATAACCTCATTGTAACCGCTTAATCGTAGGGGCGTTGTTAGAATAGTTGAAATCAAAAAGTGTAGAAGTTTATTCTAGACTAACTTGACACTTAGTGCCAATAAATGAAAATTGATAAGAAATACGAAATTTACTCACGTGTGCAATGTCTTGGCTCGTCTGACGAGTCACCGCAATCGTTGGTGCCATCGCAGAATCGGTTTATGGGCACACATTTCTTGTTGTTGCAATGGTATTCGGATATTCGACATCGTGTGTCGTTCCCGTGCAGAACAGGCAAAATCTCTGGCTCGGGAATTTCATTACTCGGATAGGGCCTATCTCTTTGTAGAACATTTTTCGGAGTTTCTGTAACTACGTCGCAATCGGTGTAATTGACAAACGCGATGATGAAAACAGCGATCGTCAGACGACTGGAATCTGAAACAAATATCGTATATTTGTGATTAATCTGCAAACATTTTTCACTTTATACATTCACTCATGAGTGCTAGACTCATAAATGACATACCTAATATTATAATCGTTTAGGTAACAGTTGTTTCGTACTTTCAAAATCTCTTGAGATTTTATCTTAGACAGTGTAAAATAATACATTAGAAAATAGGGCCATCTTTTTAAACTAGCTAAAGTAATCAGTTCAGTGAAGTTTTTTTAAAATGTCACTGTGCATAATTTTACCCTCTAAAATGAATTACGGAAAACTTATTTATAAAAAATTTTGATAAGCTTTGTACATTATCGGATCAAGGCTTTTCAAATTGTATTTATTTAGTAAAATATTTTTTTTGTTATTCTATTTATTTTTGTTATATTTTATACTGATAAAACTCTTTACAGTGCAAAGAAAGTTTAAGTTGACGGCGTTAAGATAAATCTGATTTGCATTGGAAAAAGGTCATTTCCTAAAATATCCATATTTTCATATAAAACATAATGATAAAAAATTAAACAGGAAAAAGTTTTACACAAACCTATTATTTTGCAACTTATTTAATGAAATCGGTTGATAAATTAAAATGATATGGTTATTTTTGTTAAAAAAAAGTCCAATGGTTGTGTGTATAATGTGAAAAATGCATGTAATTTAAAAGTTTCAACTTTTAATAACAATTCAATCGGTTCAACTGAATATACAGTACGGCTTCCTTAAAAATAGGCCAGATAATGTTAAGTTATTTAATTATTAGGTTTAGCTCCATAATTTACGTGTATTTATTAAAAGTATATTTTGTGTAAATATTAATGATCTTGATTAACTCAAATTATTTGCTGAAAGGTAATACACACCTTGTTATTTTTTTTTTTGCTAAGTTCTTATTAGAGAATGTAATACGTTATTTACAGTCAAAATATTATATTTTGTTCACATGTCAATAAAACTTACTTTACAGGTGGGTGAAGACGCGTGAAACATCGTCTAGACCAGGTCATTCGTTATTCATAATGTTTAACATTATCGTTAGTAGAAAACTTTCCACTAACATGTTGGAGATTAAACGACTTTATAGAACTAACCCTTATAAATTACGAGACTTCGAGAAATAATTATTTAAATTTATTCACAAGTCCCTAGGGATAACAATTTTCATCCCCTCGAAAACAAATTTATGCTACAGTTCTAAAAATAACAGCCATTAATCATTTTTCACAAAGCTCGTTTGACGGTTGTTAATCAATCTTATTTAAGATAAAAAACCTTAACTCAAAACTTTACTTTTATATGTATTAGTTCTGTATTTTATATGTATTACATTGTATTTACACGCACACAAAATACAAGCTCTATAGTTTTCAACCTTATTGATAAAGAGTGAAATTGAACGTTGAAATTGTATTGATTGTATTCTTTAATGTATTATAACACGATGACGATGACGTAATCCATAATAACATAGTCGTATTTCGATCGAATAATACACGATACTATATAAAATATAGATGCTATATAAAATCGTAAAAACTATTCGTTATTGTACGAGTAGGCCTTATTTTATTTATATTTGTCTTTCTTTAAACCATAGACATTTTTTTATGTGAAAAGTTGCCAAACGAGCAGACGGTTCAGCTGATGTTAAGTAAATACCGCCGCCCATGGACATCTGCTACACCTGAGGGATTGCAAATGCGTTGTCAACCTTTTTGGAAATTGGGCTCCGGCTACTTCACTCACCAGACGAAACGCGAAAGTATTATACTTCCACTTTACGCCGGTCTTCTGTGAGGTCGTTGTACTTACACGGACGAGCCTGCCCATTCGTGCAACAGCGGAGGCTGCTGCGTGGCCCTACCACCGTAAGACATGTTCAGTATTTATAAAATAAAATAAAACTGATCGTACAACTTAGTGCAGTTTATGAAATATAGTTTGCTCTTTATTTAGCTCAGTTTATGTATTTGGAAGTTCAAACCGCTGGAGGCTTTTCAAATTACCATCCAATTTGTGTAATAGGTTTCAATATGATCCAACGTGTTAAATTCAGCGAGGGCTCTAGAATTTTTAACGGAACTCTGAATAAAATTCACACTCGCAAAAGAAGTATTTGCAGTAGTTTAATTTAATCCTAAATAAAGTTTAAATTTTTATAGTGCTAATCTCTGCACTTAAGATGTTATATTAAAATTGTAGAAAAGCTTTTCGTACTTTTTATATAAACTATAACTAAATTAAGTCTCTTTTTTACTGATAATTAGAACATTTAAAGTAAAAGTTATATATAGTTTTGCTGTCTATTTTTAGTGCCGTACAAATAGGTTGTCAGGTGTTCAAAAATTAGAAAAATTCTACTTCATCTATTCCTGCCCTTCTCCCACCCAGGCTGGTTCGATACAATATGTGCATAATATTATTAATGTTATTCTCAAGGTTTACTATCTAATCGCTATACCACGATCGCTCGCCTGATTTTATCGAAGGGTTTTCTCCATCGAAACGTACTCTCCTTTGAAACAAATAGTAGATACGAAACAATTACCTGCCTATTTGTCTAATAAGTATAAGTTATTTTTGGACCTGAGTTCCATATCGTACGGTACGGTTTCGGCGGATTGGGGCTAGGCGAAAAAAGAGTCAGAAAATTTACGTCACGACCGAATCGTCACGAAAATACCATGTTAACCAATAACAACTTTTTGACATTTACCTATATAGAAGTTATTTAATTAAACCGTTATTAAAGACAACAACAAACAAGAGGGATTAACAAAGGGGATAAACATTTTAGTTATTGGAAATATATTACGATTATCAATAATAATATACAACGAAAAGAACTTCGTTCCAACCAAGTGTTCCACGACACTTATACATTACATCACATATGTTAGGTAAATGACAGAGGCATTTGTAGCTAGTTTATTTAGAGCAGTACCTATTACGTAGCGGCATCTGTGTACAAGTAAGTACGTGTATTGTTATTCGAATAAAGGGGTTAGAGTCAAAAATTAATTGGTGATATGTTGGCGCCAAGATTTCAACTTAGGATATTCTACATAAAACGAGAGCACGGTGCACGGGCTCTTTTATATACCCTTATTATATTTTGGTCTTAGAATGGCTAGTAATAATTATATAGCCTGTCTGGTAATTCAACTTTTAATAGTTCTAGTCTAGACACAATAGTAAAACAAATCAATCAGATGAAATTTATACCCCGACAATTACAAAGCTTCTGGACAGTCAAATTTCAAACATATTGACAACCAGTATTAATTATTCGTTCCTCATTTCCTGATTTCATCCTATTTATACATGAAAAGCTGCAACGTTGGCACCCGGATTGATATCGCATTTTCGAATGCTTTGAACCGTGAATAACAGCGTATGAAACACTGTTATTGTGAGTGCAGTTGGTTTGAACGTGTGGTTGGGATGCTTTAGCATTTTGCAATTTTCGCGAGGCATTTTCCTTTTCTGGGATATACTTTTATGATTTTGTTTTACGTTTTGGATAAAAACCTTAATGTTTTGAAGCTACGAGTTGATTAAGGAACAAAATATACTGAAAAATATATGATGCTTTATGAAAAAAAAATGTAAATATTATGTGAAATATAAATTATATCTTTATGGATAAATCATACACGTGATGCTTCAGGAATAAATATATAAATGAAAAAGATTTTTTTTAATTTTTATATTTTATATGTAGCCGTGATAGCTCAGTGTCCGGGCGCTGGCCTTTAATTCAATTTACTCTGGCAACCTGAGCTCGATCCCCTGTGCCAGCACCAATGAAATTGTTAATTTTATATACAGACTTATCACATGCTCCGCGGTTAAGGAAAACATCGTGAGGAATATGCATATTTACGAAATAATAATAAAAAAAATATTTTTAACGATATGTGAAGTCCGCCAATCCCAAGTGTCTACTATACCCTGATACGCTCTTTACACAGTAGGCCTTTACCCAGGAGTGGGATATTTATAGGCTGTCACTTTTATATATATATTTTATAATATGCTAAACGGCTGATTGCCACACTGACGGCAATCTCAAAGTATTTTATCTCATTATATCATATATTATTTAGTCATAGTTTTAGCAATCTTATAGCGTAGAAAAACAATTTGAAATATCATTTTGCAACGATAATTCGAAGGAGACATGTCGCCATTGTAATTTTAAATTAATTTTAAGAAAACGTTCGAAAACTTATATGTTACTTGCAATAAAATTGTAAAATATTGCATAAGTCGTAATATTAATATTGTGAACTTATAATTTTTTTTAATTTAATAACAACGAACTTTTCAAAGACTTTCGTAAGAAATACCTAGAGCAGACAGATCTTGACTTTCAAGGACTTATTGAACCAAGAAATCTAATTTTACACTTTGACGCCGTTGTAAAACTTTTAGATGACATTTTCATTATATCTTTTTTAATATCAATTATATTTGAAATTTGTAAAACGAAAGAATGTTTGTAACATAGTTATAACATTTTCAAAATAAATTTGTAGGAAGCATTATTTCTATATTATTTCTTAAAATAGGCTGTTATCGTACTGCATGCCCTTTAACCATGGACATAACTACAGCTTAACACGCGGACCAACAAGTTTAAATTACACTTTAATTCACATTATAATCATATGTATGTATATTTGTAAATTGTATAAATATATAAAGTTTTTAAAATTATCTCAGGATAACATCGTGAGGAAACCTGCATAAGGTTTCCTCACGATGTTATCCTGAGATCATTTCGAGATAATAATAAAATAAAATTGTTTCAAAGATATGTTTAGTGCGCCAATCCGCACTGAGGTCGCCCTATTACCCTCTTTACAGTGGAGGCCCAGCAGTGGGACATATATCTTACTTTACTTTACTTTACATTAAATTCGCTTAAACCTACGGCGCCGGCGGAATTGCTGTATTTTTGTGGCCTGCAGAGTTTTTAAGCTTTGTT